AAGGGTGTTATTGGGGGGGCCAAGAGTTGTACTTAAGGGTCACTGACGCTAACTCACAACTTGTGCCCTTCGGTTGGTCACGCACCCTCTCTGCACAGTGTTTTAAAACCTCAGACAGGCAGAGTTGGTATTTCAAAGCTGAATCTAGAAGAAATGTAGATTTGAATTTTTTAATTCTCTCAAACTACATTCTGCAAGAAAATGCTACATAGATTTCATCAGGGAAATAACTATTTTACCAAAGAAAATGTCTTAAAACGAGCCATAGCTTTGATGTGCTCTACTTTAGTGCTAATAGGCAATATTGCAGTACTGGAGAAAGATTTTAAGAGAGAAATATCTCATATTACAGAATGGAACTCTTTTCCTTTAAATCTCAGATTTATCACATAAGCTCGACTACCTTTCCACATCAACCGCTGCATACGTTTGATTTCATTTCCCACAATTTGCTGCCAAGCCATTTCTGGGGGTTTAAAAGCTCATACATACTTCAGAATGATGCCAAAAGAAAAGTCAGGGGAGGGCTTAGTGTACTGTGACTTTGATTGGGTTTGAGTAGGAAAGCCATTTCCAAGCCCATCTTGGTTATAATCCTTTGCAGTTGCTTCCTGCGACTCCTAACTGTACATTTCCTTTTTTCTTTTTTTTCTTTTTTTTATCCTGTGCACACCTGCTGATGCTTGCATGACAAGTTAATATAATTCTTGATCCACTGCGTCCATAAATCCCATGTCTCCAATTACCTCGGGTTCTTACGGGCTTTATACATTTTTACAACAGCACATTCTAAACACATGCACCTTATGTGGCACAGTGCCAGTGTGCTTCCATGTATGATGTATTGCCTGCAGTGCGCACTATATTATACGCACAGCAAGCACATTGCTTAGTCAAGCCCCTGAACACCAGCTCCCAGCTCTGCACATGAGACTGGCTCATATTGCCGATCTTCATCTTCTCATGTAGCACTTGTCCTGATCAATCAATACATCACTGTTGTGCAGAAAGAAGATCAACTGTTTGCTCCAAAATAACTCGATATGTGACGTAGACAAAGCTGATTCACGTGCTTCCTTATTCAGATTGGGTTTGTTGTCATTAACCGAAATGTAAAGAGGAAGAGCACCTGCTGGGAAAATGAATGACAGTGAAGAGATCATCGTCTCATCTCTCCCGGTCAGGCTCGCTGTGACATGAGGTCATCACAGTTAGACTGTGATGAGTAACGAGCAGTGATCCACAGCTGCCGTACAACTGTCAGCTCACTGCAGAGTGAACTCGAGACAGGGAGAGAGAGGGAGACAGGCAGAGTTAACAAGGATTCAGACCTGTCAGTCAAGGCAAGAAAGCAACAAGGGGAGGAAAGGTAGAAGAAGAGAGAGAGAGAGCAATTCATTACCAGTGGGACAGACAAAAAAAAATAAAAAAAGATGTGAGGGCAGAGAAGAAGTAAGAAGGAGAGAACAATGCAGAGAGAATCCTACAGAGACCACTTGAAAGGGAGGAATGTTTTGTTTCTGCATGCAGCCAGTTCAGTTGTGGGTTATTCTCCCACTGGGGAGACTAATTGCTTGTTGATCTAATGTTCTATCCCCTCCTGTCCCTGAAAACCAACACATTTGATGAGTGATGGGTCTATGTGTGTTTCTTTTTCTTCTTTTTTTTTTTCCTTTTTCTTCTGCGGGACAGGAACTCCTGGCCTCATCCAATCTAAATATTCACAAATCAGGAGAAAAGACTTTGGGCTTGGTTCCAAATTCGATGAAGCATAACGCTACTCAGCCCGCTGCTGCCTGCCCTTAGAACGAGACCTCTGAGGGTTTGCAAACGTTGTTCACATCACTTTCTCACCCCCCCCCCCAGCTTTGCCCATATCTGTTTCTTCCTCCCTCTCGCTCTGTGAGGCAGATCAGTGAGCAGCTAATTAATGAGTTTAATGTTACGATTCATGCACATATTATGTGTCCATTAGAGAAAGAGCCTCAGCACCAAGGTAGAAGTTATAATTTAGACGGACATTCATCCTGTGCTCTGTGTGTGTGTGTGTGTGTGTGTGTGTGTGTGTGTGTGTGTGTGTGTGTGTGTGTGTGTGTGTGTGTGTGTGTGTGTGTGTGTGTGTGTGTGTGTGTGTGCTTGTGTGTGTGTGTGCTTGTGTGTGTGTGTGCTTGTGTGTGTGTGTGTGGCTGCCTGTTTGTGTTTGCCTGGCTGTCACTTATCTCCCCTCTCCTATAATGCTGATCGCAGCATCTCCAGTTGTCCAAGGAGGAGGCAGTAAATTATCTCAGGTTCTGTAGAACATACGCTGTAGTCAAGTGGCGGAAAATGTGGGTGCGCCGTCTCATTTAATGGGGTCATCAGTGGCTACATGTGTCGCCGTGTAAATCAGTTCAGTAAATGCATTCTGGAGGTGTGGATAGCATTGATGCCAATATGGGAGTGTTTCTCAGAGTTATAGAGTGTGTGTGTGTGTGTGTGTGTGTGTGTGTGTGTGTATATATATGCATTGTTCTGCTTACAATTTCGCCTTGAGGCACTTCTGCAGCGCTGCTATCTCAGACGGCTGATTCAGCACAGCCTCCCCTTCTTTTCTCTTCACTGTTGTCCATTTATGAGTGTCCAGGCTAGCTACTGTCTGTCTGTAAACACACAACCCGAGGGCACACCCAAATGCACATATTCTGCTCACACTCCATTAAACACACTCTGAACAACTTATTGTGATCCCTTTTTCTTAAGAGTCAGGGCAATGGGCATTTGAAGCTTGCATGAGCGCGTGTGTGTATGTGTGTGTATGTGTGTGTATGTGTGCGCGTGAGATGGCCATGTGCGTGCGAGCGGTTCTCTGCTCGCCCTGATGTATGAATTTTATACAGCAAAGATGATGACACATAAGTTCTCTGCTGCTCTCCTGCTGAAAATGAATTTTTGATCTGTGTTTTATCGTCTTGTAATCTCTGATATCTTTGGAAGTTATTGCTTTATAAAACGTCTCTGCAGCTGGTTTGTGCTTCACCATATGACCAGGGAGAGGTTTTAAGAGTCTCAATGTTGTTGTATTAGAAGGAGCTAGATCTCTTCACACATGAAATCTATATATTACAAGTCGAGAGAGGTTGCAAACATCCACTCCCACACACACTAAAAAAAGAGACTCACACTCCCCTATACAAACATTATTGACCTTACAGCACTCTCTTAGAAACCCTATAGAATCCTTATATTCTTCCATACATGCATCTACGGCTGTGGAGCATCCACAGCGCAGCAATGTGGTTTGCTCACGGGGATATCTGCCTCACACCTCTCAGGGTTGTGTTATAAGCTGTTTGTGGTTGTTGTGGGTCTGGTCATGTATGTGTGTTTGTATGTGTTGGTCTGGCCGTGTGTGGACAGTGTTGTGTGACTAGACATGAGGTCAGTCAGTTAGCCTCTGGTGTGTCTGTCAGCCACACTAAAGGGGATGTGGGAGCGCAGCCGCTGTTGGGTGTTTGGGGGGGGGGGCATGAGTTGTGCGTGTGTGCCTGCATGACACCTCCTCCCTCTCCTTCACCTGCTTTTTTCTCTCGCTTTTTCTTGATCTATCTATCTATCCCTCACTAACAGCCCATCTGAGAGGCGGGCTGAATGGTATGAATGGAGGGGAGTCATAAAAACAGGAAGCTGCCCTTTTTTTTTCCCTTTTTTTTTTTCCTTTTTTTTTTTTTTACGGCGTAGTAAAGTAGACTCCCGCTCCCAAACCCAGCCTCTCAGTGCATTTTTTAATGAAGCATAAAATTTTTTAATTAAATCTTAAAAGCCTGTTGATACAAAGGTCTAAAGGTTTTCCTCACATAGCAAGTGTGCTACAGTCTCCACCGTTTGACCCGGCAGCGAGCAGGAATGGGACCAACGCCTTGGTCATTATTGCTTTAAATAACTCTCCATTTACCAAGCTCTTCATAAATATTGGAATAGAGGGCTCTTAGTCAGATACAACAGAACCATTTTGTGGTGAGCAAATCCCATAATGATTTTACCAATCTGCTTTTAACGTCTGAGGTGCTGCCCTTCTATCAGACCTTTGTTCTTGATATGTATCTTGTCTGCACATACTTTGTTTTCCCGTAGCAATTCTCGTTTTTACAAACTACCCAAATGCTACAGTCATAGTTTAGTCTGTGAGAAAAGGACTATAACTGTGTTTTTACACAAGCGTAAGTATACCCTACGTCCCATTTTTCAGCCACAGTCAAGCCTTTATAATCTTTTACTCCAGCAAAACAGACGCAGCTGGAGAAACTGTAAGACGCTTGTCCCATTAAATTTATAACCCCTCCCCCTCTGTAGTGCAGCAACACCACAGTTTCCTCCCCCATCAGTAAGCCTGCTAAAATATTAAACATTTATCATAGTTATTATAGTCAGTAAATCCTTCCACACAATGCAAAAAAACCCTCAGCTTTGTATTCTTTTGGGATATGAAGGTAAATGGATGAGGTTATTGCCTGGACTAAGGTGCAGTGATATCAGCCACAATAATCTTTGTCCTCCACCACGGCCATTAGGATTTATAACTCTGACACATCATGGCAATGTCCACAAAGTGTCGGCAATGACGGAATGACGCGCTGCCTCACGTCGCTTCACGCCGCTTCTCGTCGCTTCACGTCCTCTGTTAATGTTTTTACCTGAGCACAGTTCAAATGCGACAGCTGGTTGCCAGCTGACCACTAACAGTCATGTTCTGTGTCTCTGGCTATATTCCCAACCTAAAAAACATCATGGAAAGGAAAGCAAAAATGAACTAAGCAAACATTTTTATTCCGTTATCAATATGATTAAAGAGTCATGTAATATGATCAGAATACAAACTGAGAATATGGTAAAATATTGCAACTGGAGGTGAAAAACACAAATAAAAACTCCCTGGCTCATGCATGGCACTGAGCCCATGATTTTCTATCTATTTATTTTTCTTTATTCATTCATTTTCTGACATTGTTTTTCTGTTCTCACAGCTTGCCCACCGGGTACCTTCAAGTCAACCCAGGGTCCTGGTCTGTGTCTACAGTGTCCTCCCAACAGCCGCTCCACAGCTGAGGCTGCCACCATCTGTGTGTGCCGCAACGGCTACTACCGCGGGGACGCTGATCAGCCGGATGAGCCCTGCACAAGTAAGTATATTGTATATGCATATTACATACACGACATTAACACTGTCACACACTTACATTAATGTAAGACAAGCTCCTGTAATAGGCATCCACGTATGCATTATGCATTTATATATGTGACATCAATATTGGATAGACTGGTTCATGCACATAAACCACTATGATAGAGATGGATTTTTTTTCTTCTCAGTGTCATCAAACCAGAACACGCAGTAGCATTTGAATAAGCATATATCTAGAGCCCTTGTTGTCTTCTTACTTTGGTCATAATTATTACATTGCAGGGTTTCCATCATTGACGTCTCCATCACTTTGCCGATGCGCTTCCTTTCTGTTTCCCTCACAGTTATCGCCTTCTCTCTGTCTTTCTTTCTCGCTGTTCTTTCTTTCTGTCTGCTATCATCCCCCGAAGTCCTAATTACTCAGGCAGATGCTGCGAAGCTTCGACACTGTCCTGCCGTTATCCGCTGGAGATCCAATAAGGCCTCTCGCAGCATCATAGTTATCTTAATATGATGTAAAAGAAATATGCTAAGCCTTCCTGCCATCCCCGCTGACACCCAGTTACACTGACGGAGAGCACCGTTAGACCCCAAAAAGTTTGTTTACCTCTCTTCCTTCGCTGCCACTGGGGAGTGTCTTAATGGTTCGTTCTGCTCACAATGGCTGACCTGGAAGCATTATAGGTGTGGTTATGTATTAATTTAGCCCTGATTTATTCACATAGACCTGGCTAATTGGCCTCAGGAATGAGCTGAGGACCACACTCCTTTCCTAATCGGTTCACAGCTGCACAGTGTAGCCTTCACGGCTAGAACTTGTATTGAACGCACCTCTTTGGCCATGTATCCTTTTTATAACTCTGAATAAGTGCCTCAAAGCTGCAGGGGAACCTCAGTGCAGCATGGCTGTCTGTCTGACTGTTCGAACGCTTCCCGAGTGTAACCATCAACACCTTTAGGCTTTGGATGTTCTCAACGGATGACACCCCACTTTCACCTTGAGTTTTCTCCGCCCTCCCATGGTATACTGCGTAGCTCTCTGGTGAATTGGTGAACGCTCCATCAAGTGTAGCATCTGCCTCTACCTTGAGGCCTTAAATTTTCCCCAAGCAATCTCCACAACAGCTCCCCAGTGGAGCCTCTTGAACAGATCCCTCCGGTCTGTGTTCAGTTTCCAAATGCAGCCTGTTTTTTTTTTTTTTGTTTTCAATCATGCCACTTCCTCTCTAATCTTATCATCTCTGGTCTGTTCTTTTTCCTCATCTGCTTCACACAGTTTTCCCCTCATGCGCCATACACCTTCAACCCTCTTTATGTCTTAACATTTTCAATGTAAAGCACATGTAATAAAATGTGCTATATAAATAAAATTGCTATAAACTAGTCTATTTTTGGTTTCTAATGATAACATATCCTATAGGTGCTTAGTTACTTAAGTAAGTAAAATAATAAGAAGAGAAAAAATGCCCACTATTACAATCATAATTACACAGTGCACTACAAAATAAAATATTCATTACAAGAGACTATATCTCAGTTCTTTGTAAAATGCTTTTTATCTCCCATGCATGCACTCAAAATGTCCTACTTAGAATTTTGTTTTCAACATTAACATCTTAAACCAACTTCAGTTCCTCCTCAATTTGACTTAACATTCATTTGCAACAGCACAGTCAAAGTCTTCTCTGATGGTTGAACCGTACAGCATCAGCTGAGCTTGATGCTCAGGGTGCCCTAGATCTCAACAGGGAGGGGGGGCAGTGAGATCATCCTAGTAAGAATCTCTTTAATACTGTGGGTCCTGATAAGAGCACTGCCTGAGTAGCTTAAATCAGGCCAATCTGTAGCAGCAGAAGTTGTAGCTTTAGCTCTTCACACTGGCATCACAGGCGCAGGTCCCTGTGTGCTCCAGATCAGTCTGATTAGCTTGCTGATGGATTGTCCAGCGCCCGGCTCTGTCAGCGGGGGTCTTCATGCTATGCCCCCCCCCCCCCCCCCCCCACACACACACACACACACACACACACACACTTCCCAGCCCACACCCCTACCCCCTTTTCCCTCAGGAATATGCCAAGGATGCACTTCAAACTACCCCTCCACTTCCTACCCCCTCCGTCTTTATCCCAACCTTCTGTCTTGCGCTGACTCCAGCTCAAGCCTCAGGGTGTGTTCTGTCTCGCAGCGTGAAGCCCACTCCTTTCAGCTTGGCTACCCTGCATAGTGGGCTTTGGGACAGTGGTTTGCATTGCACCGCATCCCCTCCTGGTCCCTTCTCCAGGCTCGAGGCCCCAGTCTGACGTACCTCCACCTCCCCATAGGTGTGCAAGTGTGAAAAAGAATTAATGTGTACGTGTGAGAATGTTGCCGTGGGGGGAGGTCAGCCAGCTCCAACATACTGGGCCAGTGGGTTTCTCTCAGTGTTGACTCAGAGGAGAAGAATGACAAGCTGAGTGGAAACTGAGGGGGAGTCAGGCGGAGAAAACAGCGTTGATTGCTCCGTAGGGGAGAAGGGATGCAGAGATGGAACTTCCTGGTGTGAGGAACAGTGGAGGAGAGAAAGGAGTGATGGGAAAGAAGGACTAATGACTAAGATATATGATAAATATATATATATAAAAATCCCATCAGTACTATAGGAGGGATGCGGCAAACTAGGATTTGAATCTGTACATTTGAAAGTTTAGTCTCAGAAGGAATGAGGGATTGTAGATACGGACACAATACAATGTCGTGAATATGTAAAAACAAACCACCACTGCCAGCGACTAACCGATTCATGAGGAAAATCTTTGGAATGTAACCGAATCAACATAAATATAGGGAATGAGGGGGAAAATAGGATGGTTCTGATGGGCTTCTACATTCCTGATTCGTACCACACTGGCTCTGATTTTCGTGGCTCACATGTAATACTTATATCTGTGGCCTGTCCCCTGAAAGCCTCCTTGAGCCCCGTCAAACACTGTCTACGCCTCCTAACAAAAACAAAACCCATCAAAATTCCTGACTGAAAGGAAAACGTTATCTATTTTTCCATTCTCCTCATCACCCTATTTATAATTTTTTTTCCTTCTTTGCTTGGCTGTTCACTCCTCCTCCTTTCTCCTTGTTCTGTTTTCAAAGAGAAAGAGGAGTGAGCCGTCAAAGTGCATAAATATTCTGTTCTCACTCCAAGTTTTTCTTTTTTTTTTTTTCCACTTCAACTGTGTTGTCAGTTCTGGAGTCAGTTAAGGGTGCTTCCCGGAGCTTAGCAGTCAGCTGGCCAGTTTGCTCTTTCAGTAATACTGTAGTAAATGAAGCTAAGTTAAGGTAATTGTCTGGCCTACTTTAATCCCTGTACCGACATAATGCTCCAGACTTCTATCTATATGTACATATGTTCAAAGACACCACTGGTGTCTGTTACATCTAAAGCTTGACAGATGCAGAGTCATGTTCAATTATTCCAGTTATTGTAGACAGTCATGTGGGTGTGTAGATTATTCTTTAGTCTGATAGAGAAAAGCTTTCACATATTCATATTGTATTGCAAACTGTACTGCACGCACATATTATTAGTCCTTATAACACGTTTTATTTCATATCTCACCAACCCACACAGCCCTTCTTTCTTTCTACCAGCCCCTCTGGCTGTGATAAGTATCATCACACAGGGACCTTCTGTTGGTCCCTAAAGGCCTGTTTCACATCATAAAAACAAACAGTTTGAAAGAAGTGAAGCACAGGCCTCAGACCATTCAAAAGTTCATATGGTGGATGAGTAAACAATGTGCAGAAGTGTTTATGTTAGGCACTGGGCCACTCTTTCCAAAGGGGAAAACTGGGCTGTGGTCTTTAACGGCCCTGGTGGGACCTTGAATAGCACGTCTCAATACCAGGGCAGCTATGTGTCCCTGCCTCTAAATTCACCTGCAGCAGTAGCCAGTAAGGACAGCGAGCGGCACATCATACATGTATGTACGTGAAAGAAGACATTTACAAAGACACGTAGCCCTGGAGATAATTCACATGTTGCAGAATCTTATATTTAACTGAATACCATTATTACTTGTCCAGATGAGTTACAGATACAGAGTAGCTCCTTACAATTGCAGTTTATTGTGGGGACACACGCTAATTTAAAGGTTATATAAATGAGACTTTAAACAGTGATATGATAATATAGCAGCAAACAACTATTTTCTGGGTAAAGATATAGTGGAGTAATGGTGTCCTGAGCAAAGAACAAAGTCACACACAAAGCCAAACTTCTCTGTTCTGTGTTTCGGTATCCAGTCGGGCCTCACGTGCATGTTAGTGTAGGTGAGTGCCTCCGTGTTAAACCATCGGCCCTCCCCACATTTATAAAGACACAGGAATCGCCCACAAGTGAGACTGCACAGTGCAATACGCAGTGTTCAGGTGAAAGCGACCTTGCAGAATTCCCCCCCCTGATGAAACCATGTTTTTCGGCTAAAGGCCTCCCACACTGAAAGATTTAGATCAGAGTGTAGGCAGACTGTCCATGGGGAATACCAGCTCAAATCCCAGTTGACCAGTGGACCGCCAAAACATCCAAGTTTTTACCGGTTCCGTCAGGCTCTTTATTTATATTTACCTGACCCTGAAATGACCTTTGTCCATTAGCATGGTATTTCCGTGTGGTGCAACGAGGTTTAGTCTTGTGCTGGGTGAGTCTAAACAGACCTAACTTCATCAAGTCAAGTCTGCTCAGTGATAATTAATAATTTGACTCCATGTTATTCATAAATAAGACATACCTCGACATATAAAATGTGTAATTTATGTAAGAAAATCGTCAGGTTGAAATTTTTATGATGTGCTGTATTTTTAATTATAATCTGATGTGATACAGCAGAATTATGAGTTACATTCTGGTGAAATTTTAGAAGGGTGTCTCAGAAACATTAAGTTGTTAGAAAACAAATTTGCAAACTCTCTCTAAATAGTCGCAAAGATGGGATTTCTATAGGATATTGTCAGTTTATGCAATCATTTAAACAGCTTACACAGACTCTTCCTTGAATCACAGTTTTGGCAGCAATGGCATTGTTGTTGAATGTAAACACAAGCAAGTCTGAGAACAAGCATATTAACCACAAGAATAAAACAAACTAAAGGCAGCCAATAAAATGCTATAACATTTCATTTTCACTTCAAATTGTTTGTGCTACAATGCTAGTTATATACTAAATATTTAAAGATGACATGACTTTTACTACTTCCACATATTCAACCTACAAAGGCGCGTCATCTGGCTGCATGTTTGCCTTGCTGTGCATTTGTGCTTCCCTGAACAACAATATTGATTTCTTAGCTGGTCTGCACTCTCCTTTCCATTTGGTCATTTAGTCTCATCATGTGCCACTGAGATTGCCTTAGCTCTTTAAAAGGGAACAAACAATGTGGCTGGCTGGGAAGACAGGGTTCACCAGAGCACCAGTCACATTTATATTCCCCTTAAAATCGTTTGTATCAGTTTTATTTTTATACTGCCGAATCATAACATACACTATCTGAAGGCACTTTACAGAGTAAGGTCAAGAGTAAGGGACAGAGGTGAAGGAGGAGACACCAGGAACCACTATATACAGTATGCTGTTGTACTAAAGCACTGTCAGACTGGTTGTTAATGGTAATAATAATAATAATAATGGTAATAATAGGTGCCGCAATGATAGCAACAAATAGTAATTATAACAATAATAAAAACAATAATATTGATAATGAGTGTTGTGTAGTAGATGCATATTATGCATCAATTTATGTGTTTCTGATAATATTGATTAAAGGACGCATATATAGGATGAAAAGTGTCGATCCTATCACGGAACCCTGTGGAACTCCATGAATAGCTTTTGTGTGCATGGAAGAGTCATTGTATCTATCATTGTATTGTATCCATTCAGTAAATATGACTTAAACCAGCCTAGTACAGTTTCTTTGACATGTCCAAGTTTCTGTAATAAAATCTTGTGATCGATGGTGTTAGTTGCAGCACTAACACCTAGGAGGATAAGTATAGAGACGAGTCCATTGTCCTAGACCAAAAGAAGACCATTGATAACTTTTACTGGAGCTGTTTCTGCACTATGATGTTCTCTAAATCCCGACTGAAAGTTTCAAACATGCCATTCCTATGCACATTGGAGTGGCATTCAGTAGAGCACATACCTCCGACAAGGCCAAACAATCCCACACATGTCTATGTGATCCAGTTTATTATCTGGATCTGTGATTGTTGTGATTGCACCAGTAAAATGGAGCCCTTACTGCATCGTTAATACATGTCAGACAGGTACAGCGGCTGCTTGGAGATAATGTTTTGCCACTATAAACTAAGTGAAAGAACATGTATGTAAGCATACCAAATCTGATTGGCATAGCTAAATGAACTCCAGCTGAAAGCCTGTAAGTAACATTCTCAGCAAATTAAATCCTATGGCAAATTACAACAGCCGAAGGCTACAGTAATAGTCTACAAATCACTGGTTAAGTGGCAGTCACATTTGATTTCTTGTGCTGTCCCTGCATATGTGGAGCCTGGTTGTATTTGGGATGAAGGAGTGTGACGCTTCCTTCACACCTCAACCTGGAAGTGTTTTTTTTTTCCCCCCACCGTTGTATGAATACATTGATATAGACAGCGCAGACACAGATACATGGAAACAGGTAGTTCAAGCATGTATATTTGTGCCACATGCATTTTCCACATGAGCAGATGTGCATTGCTTTTCACTGCAATGCAAGTTTAGGGGCAAGTGCATGTACGTGATTAATGGCACAGAGGATACAAGCAGTGTGAGTAACATATGCCTATTGTTCGGCACCCAAGGGAAACAGCTGAAGTGCTGCCAATTCCCTCATAAAGACCGTTCCTACTAAAACACACATCCACATACAGTACACCTGGTAGCATTCAAGGACCAAATTATGTACCATTTGACCATGTATTTGGAGCACTAGCGGTCCTCCCAGCCCAGCCATAATAATCACACTATGGGGTTCACGCCTTTCCTGTCACTGACCTCTTTGTCGTTGGGGTGCTGAGCCGCAGTCGCAGCAGTAACAGTGCCGTTCCCTCACCCTTGTGTGTTCCGTTGCTTTGTCCCAGTTCCCCAGGGCTATCCCACATGGGTTTGCAGCAACAATGATTAATTGTGTCGGTGTTGACTGAAGTAACTATCCGCCCCATGCCCACACAAATAGGAAACTCAAGTGCTGCATCATAATATACTTAAATATCTATATGTATTGTCATATTTTTCTCATGGGCAAAAACAAAGGAGAAGAGGAAAGGAAATATGTTAGAGAGCTGAATAATTCTTCAAAGGGTCTCTAGAGTTGAATGATTCTTTAGTTTCACAGTAGTCATGTATCGAGAAATGAGTCAGTTTAAATTCTCTTTTAATGATAAAGGTCAAGCTTTATGAAGAATAAATTGGAACCAGATCAGCTCTGCAGGGCAGCCTCACTCAACCCTAGGCAGCACTGACTAAGGACTTTGGTGAGCTTCTCCATTATTGGCAGCGTCTGGTATCTGAGAGGGAAGAGCTGTTTCTGAGCAGCCGCGGGGATATAGTCTCGATTAAGCAGAATTCTGCACTGCCATTTGAACAGATTTCAACTCTTAAAGAATTGTGCTGCAATTGCAGGAGGCTGAACAAGCCACTTCTCTGCCCCCTAATATTTAGCCACCACTCAAGCAAAAAAAAAAAAAAAAAAAGTTTTATTATAACTTCATTTCTCTCTCTATATTGCCTTAAAGTTTCTACTCCAGCTGCGGGCTATGAGGGAGTGAATGGGAGCGTGAATCTCCAGAGCCACTTGGATAAGAATACTCCATGCAACACTGCATTTTGCTAAATAACCAATGGTTGATAGACACAAATGTTTCGCTGTATGATCTCTCTGGGTATGAATGGAATAAATTAGAATTCCAATTGTGCTGAAGATGAAGAAAAAGAAGTAAAAGTTGCTCTTAGACAACAACATTTATATTTATTACAGGTTGTAAATTGGCTATATTGACAAAACAGTAGACAGCTGTATAAAGCAAGTTTTTTCTTTTTTCTTTAAAAGCAATGCAGTATTTTGCTTTAAAGATCATGACAGCTCGCCTTTGTCTTACATCTTTTCTCTGTACGTTTTACAGGTGTCCCATCCAGCCCAAGGAATGTGATCTCCATTGTGAATGAAACCTCTGTGATCCTGGAGTGGCATTCCCCCAGGGAGACGGGTGGCCGCGACGATGTCGTCTACAACATAGTTTGCAAGAAGTGTCGCACCGACCGGCGCTCCTGCTCCCACTGCGACGACAACGTGGATTTCGTCCCGCGACAGCTGGGTCTGACTGAGACCAGAGTGTTCATCAGCAACCTGTGGGCTCACACCCTCTACAGCTTCGAGATACAGGCTGTCAATGGAGTTAGTAATAAGAGCCCGTATCCCGCCCAGCATGTCTCCATAGACATCACCACCAATCAGGCCGGTAAGTGGCAGCTGTGGCTAGGTGTGATGACGCTAATGATGATGTTGCGGTGGTAGTGATGATGATGATGATGTTTATACTGAATCATTTGCAATATCATCATCGTTGTCGTGTAACTTTACATACTGCCATTGCTGTTTTTTTTAAATCCCTCCTCTGTAAGCAATCTACTTTTCACTCTGCCTTCATTTGATTTTTATTTCACACTTCTCAAATAGCAAATCCTACAATTATTGCATCTTCAACTCAAAATGCTCATTCCAGAAATCCTTGCTTTCACAACACAAGTCATTTATGCAACCTCTTTGCTGAGGCTGAAGGCTGGTTGCTTCACAGACACATCTCTTTGTTGTTTAGTTTGGTCTTTGTTTAATGAGACTTTGTTTTGAGAGCAAAGCTGCACGGCAAGTCAGTACTCCTCACTTCACGGAAGGCTACACCCCAGTTGAAACCTGTCTTTAAACCTTCCGATTTATGCGCTGAAACACTCCTGCTCTTTGGATTAACACAAAGTAACGAGATTTAATCTTATGTCATTTTGTCCCTTTCACATATTTGAGTTACATTAAGCATTTCGATGGTGTGACCCATGAAGCCACCATTTCTTTGTTGCATTGGTCTAAGCTTTGCTGACAGCAGCCACAGACGTGTTGGACTGCAGGTTTCACCTTTAGTGTTGTATAACAGCTGTCCACGTTCAACTCTGTTCACTGTTCAATACTTTAATGTCAGACTGGACCGCACCCAAGATAGATACATGGACAGCTGCTGTTTTCAGGCCAAGTTGAAATATTCTTCACTCCTTCTCTCTCTCTCTCTCTCTCTCTCTCAGAATCTCTCCTCTTCTCTCTTCTCTCATCTCGTCTCTCTTCTCTCTCTCTCTCTCTCTCTCTCTCTTCTGTCTGTCCTCTATCTCCTTGTCTGTCCCTCTCTATGTTTGTGTTTGTGTGTGTGTGTGTGTTTGTGTGTGCGTGCATGTGTGCGCATGCCCTGCCTTTGCCTGTGATGGATCTGAGCCCAGCCAATGAAAATGACCTTCATCCTGTTATTTCTCTCTCTCTCTCTCTCTCTCTCTCTCTCTCTCTCTCTCTCTCTCTCTCTCTCTCTTCCCTCTCTTTCTCCCTGTCTGTTTCTCTGCATGTTTGTGCGTGCATGTGTGCTCATCCTCTAACTGAGCCTGTGATGGGATCTGAGCCCAGCCAATGGAAATGACAGGTGGAGGATATTGTCTTTGCCGATCCTTTTTTTTTTTTCTTGCTACAGCGTGTTTCATGCTCTTGTAGGTCTTTGACTTGTATACAAAGGCGCCTATCAAGGGACAAATATTGACCAAGTGAAAAATTTAAATGAGGCTGTCTTCATTTTTCTGTGGATGAGGCGGACCGTAGAAATTGCAGCGTGAGCTTGTGGGACCTAATAACAGACATGAAGTGGAGTTACAGTGTGGCAAAAGACAAGCGATTTTTGGTTGAGTTCATGCTGGCGAGGTTCCCGTGACGAAAGAGTCACAAGTTTGTCAGCTTGGGTTCCTGGAACCCTTTGTCGGTCATGCGCTGTGATTTTCTGTGTCATGTTTTCTGTCACGTACAGTGAGCATTGGTGTCAGCAAATACATATTCAGATTCAGTGATGAAACATCTAATGTCAAATGAGTTCAGAATTACTGGTTTTACATTTCTGCTTCGTAGAATGAACTTTACTTCACATTTATCTCAAAGACTGGTGAGGAAGAAAGGGCTTCATCCAGATCTCTTTTGTATAGGAGTACATTTTGAAATTAAATTTGGCCCGGTTGGTAGAGGGCATACCGTGTTTGATTATGGCGAGGAATGTAATGATCAACTGAACTTGTCTTTGTCTGAGAATGAGTCAGGGAGGAGTGGGAGGGAAGATAGGGCAGGAAGGAGAAAGCAGGCGCCTTTTTTTTTTTTTTTTTTTTTTTTTGACCAGACTGCTAGATTTTGACAGTGAAGGAGAAGAAAATGAGGGAGTAAATAGGTCTGATTATCAGGGTGGCCTAATGGTGCTGACTGTCCCCATTTGACAGGCTAATAGCACACTTGACAGATAGATGTAGAAGAAGCAATGCCCAGGCCTATTGTTGAAGTCTGCTTCAGTAATGAGGTGTCTGCCAGTAATCTGCCAGGCCTATGTCCAGCCTTATGTGGCCCTTTGTAGCCAGATAATTGCACTGTTCCTCGTTTCGACGGGGGGGGGGGGGTTCATTGGCAGGACACTGAAGAGGCAGAAGAGTCCAGAAGGGATTATTGTTAATAATGCATTTCAAAATCTAAAAGTAGAGACACTGTTTAAAATGTATTTTGTTGGTTTACTTCACTAAGACCGTAGCACTGATAAATACAACCTGTTGCCATTTTCGAGAACCTTTAAATCCTCCTGTCCGTTTATTTGGTGTGTTCGTGACCTGCGCCCCTGCATCACGCGAGGGTGGGAGAGGTGGCGTAATAAAATACGAGATCCATGTAAATGAAGTAGCAACAGGAGAGCTGTCGGTATTATATCAAAACTGAGCCCCGAGGTAAATTCCCAGTCCAACGTCAATCATACATGAAATGGGACCATCAATCCATTATACCAATACACCACTCACTGAGCACTTTATTAGGAAAACCATACTAATACCATAGGCACCAGCAGTCATGTCACAGTGTCATGGAGATCACATTTTCTCCCCATTTGGATGTTTGATGTGAACATTGACTGAAGCTCTTAAACTGCATGATTTATGCATTGCACTGCTGCCCAGTGATTGGCTGATTGGATAATTGCATAAATAAGTAGATGTTCAGTGAGTGTATTGTAAATCTTGCAAATGGTAAGTGATTGTTAATGTGAAAAAAAAACCCAAAACAAACAACTATAATCCAGATAAATACATAAGCACTGCTTTTCAGCTGGTATTGATGTCTATATAAAAACAAACTGTTCCTACATCTCACTTTTAAAGCAGCAATTTGAAGCGATCAAAACCCTGCTGAAAAATATTTGATTGTTTCAGCATCAGAACTATCAGACAACTTTAGCACTTACCTGCGAGACAAAATTACAGGTTGGCACTGTTTGGACTTAACAGATGAACAATACACAACTCTAATTTCAAATAATGCCCTATCCATGCCAGACCCAAGACTGCCATTAAAACAGACAGATTTCTTTGTTTATGTGACCATTTTTATGCGCATCAGGGGAATGCACAGGTGCACAGCTATCCAGGATATGAAAGTTGAAATTGGTCCATTAATACATTAATTGCAATTCGGTTTTAAATTGGAATTATCTATCCACAAAACGTGACTCTGGAAAGCTACAGATTCAGAGTCTGTTGTATTAAACACACAATGCTGTGGAACTGTGCGTACAAACCCTGGTAGCATTGAACATTGTACATTTTTAATGCATACGATTGATCCTCAGTGTACTAACATTCCTTAATGAAATTAATTACTTAATGGTTAGTTCATAATAACAAGACATTTTTACCATTTCTATTTTGTTTTTTCTTAGTTTTTAAAGTTGAGTACATATAGCTGAAATAATGTGGCACAGTTAATGGTAAAGGGTTCTCCTCTAAATCCATCTTGGTGCTGCTTCGCAAGGTGAGTCTTTTTTGTCATGTGCCATTGTGCTGAGCACAGCTGTTGAAAGAAGGCTTGAGATGGGTAATATGATTGCTTAGCAGATAATAATTAGCCAAGATACCCCAACATCAACACACAAGATTCCAATTTATTTTCCATTCCACACAACATTCACGGATATACCTCCGCTTAACAACAGTAAAGTAAATTTGTATTTGTATATGCACTCAGTATGTGCACATAATGAAGCAGCGATAGCAGACGTCCCTGTGACCATCTAATGAAAATTACAGTACATCTCTGTTTAAACGACCATTTCACCAATTCCTAACCTTATCTGAATCCAAAACCGTTATATTGATGGGAACCCCGAAACATATAACAGATGAAGGCCAAGGAAAAGTGGAGAGGTCAAAGCCTAAGTTTAAATTTTTGTAGTTTCAAAGTCTCACAGTTCTGTCTTGTTAAAAGAATGACAAAAGGGTTATACCAATGTCAGTATGCTCAAAACAACATCATCAGGTTTGGGATTTACAGGGAAAAATGCAGCCTTCCCATACCATTGAAAAGGGTAATGGTATATTATTACCCCTCTAGTACTATAAGGGTGTCAACATATGAGAGAACAGATCAGTGAAGTGGTCCTTTAAGTCAGATTACTAAGGAAAGAAAAAGTTTGTACCTGTCTCAATGGAGTCTTGCCTTTTCGACTTGGCATGGCTTTAGTGTGGACTGTTGGGAGATTAAGGAAAACCAAGAGACCACCTATAAAACAGTAAGGCAGCAGTAGTTAGACAGGTTGTGGTGTAAATTGACCATGAGAAGACAAAGGTGAGAGGAGGAAAAGGAGAGCGAGGATGAAGAGGAGGAGAGGAGGAAATAATGGAGGTGAGGAGGGAGTTGAAGGGATTTAGTGTGAATCACCGAAGAGGTCGTTTAACTGCCCTCGAACCTAGTGTGTGTGTCTGGGAGGAGGGACTGATCAATAGTGTGATTTAGGAGTTCATTCACGGCCTGTGCTCTCCAGGAGATTCACGCACACACACATATAGATACAGACACACAAAGGTTATATAAGGCCCGCCTCGGAGGCCATCATTCACACCTGACCTGAATTAAGTCATATTTATCTATGTTAGCTATTGAAAAATAGCTATTTTATGTCTCTTTGTGAATTAGGATGGTTTAATTTAAGGCGGGAAGAGACACTCTCTGCTTCTAGTGAATTTATTAAAATGCTAAACGACCACAAAGATGAATACGTATGGTTGTCACGCAGGCAATGAAAGTACTTGAAGTGAAAACTACAGACAGAGCAGCCATGTTTTCCTTATGTAATCCATCCTGGACACTTAACCCACATCCACCACTGCCTCAGATGAAGAGGGTGTTTTTCATCCT